TGCGTCAACTCCCTTAACTTCAGTATGAAATTATGATGCAGCATCTCAAATCACAGCAAATACCTTGAATACCTTATGTGTACATTTGAATACTTTTCCTACTCAGAATGTGCTTCATTCATTCTTCATACTACAACATAAAACATCCAATCCCAGGTTGGGATGTTACAGGAAAGTCTTTCTGACCAGTCAGCACAAGCTTTTTTTGTTATTATGAAGGTTTGCTTTTGTTGCACAGACGGATTTTAGATCAAATTTTAAAGTTTGGTTGGTGCTGTCATTCGCAGTACCTGAGTTTATCAATGTGATATTCTAAAACCTTAACTATATTTACTCTACAAGATATGTAGCTGAGAGACGGTGGACTAAGTCTTGGTTTTTAATATATTGGAAGGTGATCTAAATGTGTGTTTTTAGAAAAAGTAAAGATTTAAAATACACCTGGTCAAATTGTATAAACACAAACGACTAACCATTGCTTCCTCAAACCAAGTGATCCAGATATTTGTGGGGAGGGGGGTGCATCTAGTTTTTGATTTTCCTCATCACGCTACATGGAAAAGAATGTAAAGTGAAATATTATAGATTTTATGCACATTATTGTCCTATGACCTGTATTATCATGATTGTTACTTCTGAAACTGCTGATTAATGATCAATTAGTTGATCGACAAACAAAGTGTATAACAGTAATTCTGATTTTTGATAATGACTCAAGTAATCTTGCAAAGTAAAGCTCCCGAGCACTTGTAGCATTTCCTGATATTCTCTGATATTTATCATGGTAAATAAAATGTCTTTGGTTTCTGGTTGATGCTCAAACAAAACGAGCACTTGCTCAATTTGCTTTGGGACATTGTAAAGGGCTTGTTGATTATTATATTGTAAATTTACAAATAATAAAAATGATCGTTAAGTTACAGCGCTTATTTCATTAGTTTTGACTGAAAGTTAAAAATGGGACAAAGTCTGAAACTGTGTTTCTTAGAGTCCATGAAATAAACTTGAATTGTTTTGTTCAGTGAAAGATGAAAACTGCTTCCACTAAACAAAAAGATAAACGTCACATCAGTACGTCAATTTAAAAGTTAGCGTCACTTAGGTTTTAGTTTCTAACGGGTACAGTCTTGTAATTTTACCAAAACCAGGATCAATGTTTTGTAAAATTTCTCAAAGTTAAACTGAAACAACTGATGCTTCCTGTCATTATACGAAAGTCTGATTCTGACAAATATGAACTCTCGTGAGCGACTGTTTCCTGAAGTCATCTCTCATTATCGTTTCTTCCTTTTGTCCAAAAACAAGTAAAATCTTTTTTTCTTTTTTTTGGACACATCCATGATTCAGTCAAAGTAGAGAAGACGGTCTTTTTGTTAATTAACAAGATTTCATGTTTGTAGTTGGTATCAGCTCCAGAAACCAGATGTGGTGGCTCCATGGGAAAAAGTACACGGATATTTCTTCTTCTTCTTCTTCTTCCCTGAATTTCGTTAAGTGAACAAAAAGAATCTTCAGTGAAAAGTCTTGCATCTGTGTTTTTTTTTTTTTTTTTCAAGGGGTCACTCAAACACCGTGTGTGAAATGAGAGTTGCCTGGGTGTGACTTTTCCAGAAAGCATCCGCTCGCTATTGTCTGCCCAGTCAACTTCTGCAGGCCCCAGTGCCCTGACTTCCATACATGAGAGATCAAGGGTTACCAAGGTGCTATTGAAAGCGGAGTGCTCAATGTGAGAGGGGACAAACCCGTCCACAAAATACTCATTTCCTTTGCATGTTTGGTGCCTTAGTGGGGATTCAGATGGGGTCACTGACACAGCTACCGGGTTTTCCTTAATGAAAGCCTTTGGTCGTCTTGTCAGTGACTGTTATCTGCAGCCTGTGCAGCATACGTACAGTATGTGTGTATGTTTGTAACACGCTGAATTTACCCAAAAGAAAGTTTGTGCCGACTCTGGCTGTTTATCCGGTGCCAGGCGGAGGCACCTCGTGTAGAAAAGGTAAAAGTAGTTCTGTCCACCTCTCATTCTTACCAAAAAGTTCAGTCACCGAGCCACGGCATTAACTTGTATTCTAACAAGATTAAAATATATTCGTCCTGGGGATTAGCATAGTTAGGTGTCCTTTTTGCCTTTTTTTTACGGCGCTGGTGCGGTGACAGTGCGCTTTGATCTGTGTTGCGAGGCAAGAGTCCTGGCTTGGACCTAGCCATTCGAGTGCCAAGTGTGAAATTGGCCTGATGTCATCCCCATTCTTCACCTTTTACATCTTTCACCACTTTAATTATGTTTCCGCCACAAAGCCCAGGCACCTCGGAGCAGATTCCACTCCGGTCGTAGGAAGCATTTAGAAACTGTGGGTAAATGACACAGTAGGGGAGGGGGAGGATGGTAGGAGAGGTCATAGCAGGATGGGGCCCTTTTGTGTTTGGTGCTAGACATTGATACTTTCCTGATGTTTCCTGCGCTCACTTCCATTTTTACAGCAGGAGAACTTTCTGAAATTGCCAGCGATACTGCAGAAGATGACTCTTGGTATTTTTTTTTACAGTTTCTACATCCTGCTCAAGAACAGATGCTTATTTCTCTCTCATCCATGCAGATTACTGGTGATTGATCACTGTCGTATGACTTGTCCATCGCAGTTAAGAACCTTGAACGACAACCAGTGGAGGTGACTTGACCACCTGACGCTCAATCTCAGAGATGAGACGCATTATTCTCAGATCAAAGCTTTTGTTCCAGGAGAAAATTTCCGTACAGCTTTGACTTATTGCTCATGCATTGGTGTCCCTATCTGAACTTCAGGGAGCTTCTCTGCCGGTGAATATTTTGATGAAGGTTCCTATTGATGCGCTGAATGAAGGACCAAAACAACAGGGGTGTGTGCGTCTGTGCAGGAGGAGACAAATGAATGAAACGTGTATGTGTGTGTGTTTGTGTGCGTGAGCGCCAGGCAAGAATATAATAAAACCGAGTGGGGATGTGTGTTATCGTGTGTGTTGGCGTATATATAAATATATGTATTTGTGTGTGTGAGGGAGAGAGAGTGTACGAGTTGGTGAGTGAGCGAGCTGTGTGTGGAGAATGGGTTACTGCAGGGTGGGAGGGGGGAAACCAGCCACCTGCAGCCATGACAGGCTTTGACCTTCATTGCTCTCTCTCTCTCTCTGTGTCTCTCTTTCTCTCACCCACCCACCCCTCCTCTCTCACTCTCTCTCTCATTTCAACTCCCATTTCTGCCTTGTGATAGAAGCGCAGGCTCTTTTCAGAAGCGGCGAGGAGGACTGACCGTCGTGAAGACGCTGCTGGGAGCAGCCCTATCTGCTCTAATGGTAGTCACTGGCCGTTAGACATGGCGTTCAAAGACTAGTGGTGCAAGTATGGAAATGCAGATAAGGCATTGTTGGGGAAACATGCCTGGGAATTGTTCAAGGCTTTCTCCCTTTTGCATAATGTTGGATGTTTTTGCCAATGTTTTAATCTCAAAACCCGTGAATTACAAATCAACACATAGAATGAGAGACTGCTTGTTATGCAATGCAAATCCATGTTTGAGATTAAATCTGTAAATATTCGAACATTTCATTGTATGTATTTCTCTTTTTTAGCCAGTAATACTGCAGATTGTTCACATTTTTACTGTTTTAACCAAACCTCTGTTATTGTTTCAGCATTTTAAGAGCAGCATTTTAACATTTGCTTGATAGAAACATGTCAGAAACTTTGTGTATAATCTTCAAGCTTTATTTACTCTTCTTTTGCTGTTTTCAGGAGGCAGTTAATTACACAATTAATACATGATACAAATTATGTACATTTATACCAAAGAATACTTCCAACATAAAATAAAAAATAGCATCGTATTCTACAACTCTGTGTTGTAATTTTATTTAAACATGTTCATATATAGATAGATATACGCTGATGAGTAAATTCATAACGTCGTACCAGCAGTTTTCATAAAAGGCATTCAACTTGAATAGTCTGCATTTGAAGTAATACTGCTTCTCTGATTCGGCACAGTTCTGTTTCATAAAAAGTTCACACTTGAACTTTAAGGCAAAGTGTGTTTCTGTTTGGTGGATTTTAATTCACACACACTTTTTGCAGATACACAACAAAAACACATTGAAAGGCAAAAAGTCCACAATTTGGTATGGATACAGTCTAAAACTTAGCTCGATCATACTTTCGTCAGTGAGGACCAGAGTTCATAAACACAGTTATTTGCCCAAGTACAACAAATTGCAGCTTTCATGCAAAGGCCCCATAAACTATTATTCATTCACATAAAAAGGAAACAGAACAAAGAAAAGAAGTTATTGCAAGATAAACAAGCAGTGTAAACACCTCAGATATCTACTCTAAAGCAACACTGGTCATTGGATAGATTTTTTTTCTCAATATAATCTATATAAATACACATATGAAGTCCTTTCAACAACGATAAGAGATTTCCAACATTTGTAATACAGTCACTGACGGATTTGCCTTTTATGATATATGGATATGTGATAAAAATGTATATAGAGAAAGATTTAACAAGAACATCCAATAACCTGCTTTTATAGTCTATACTCAGAGTGCGCAAAATGGTTGTCATCATTGTCTTTATGCTACAGAGTTGTTTCTGTGACTTTATAGGCAGCATTATAGCCTTAAATTTGCTCAGCTACAAAACAAATGATTTATATTGCTATTAAAAACTATAATAGCTGCTCTGATGCATTGGTATAACGAAGGGAATATGCGCGTAATAGTTGTTTAAAGGCTATGAGACGACCACAGACGTATAAACAAGGCTTAAGTCAGCATTTTAGTGAAGTGGCGTGTTAGAAAAAAGTCGCTACCTCTTTCTAATAATTCCTGTGAATTTCTTTTAAAAAACGTATCAAAATTCATTTTCTGCCCAATTACAACAAACACCTTCCTCCGTCCATGTTCTTTAAAGACGCCAAACAACCAAGGAAACCAACAAGCATGGAAAGAAAAAAAGAAAAAAATCGTGTTAGCATTTATTTAAAATTCACAGTAGCCTGGATGCAGCAGAAAAATATTCTTTGGACTTAAGTTTGTTCACTTTCACTGACAGATCGAAAAAAACGTCAAGTGCCAGTTCAATGTAAAATGACGACAATCATGGATATAGCAGTAGGCCTATATATATAAAAGATGAAGGGTGTAAGCATTTGTACCTCCTGGGGGGTGTGGGGGGGCGACAAACAATGAAAACATACCTTTATACAACATCTTTTATAGACGTGATATTGCAGAAATATCTCTTCTTTTTTTTTTTAAACAATTTATGCTGGTATACTCTATACACTGGCCCTTTATTCGATGAAATTATTGCATTGTAGGCTTGATTAAACCTCCCATAGAACGAAAAATCACTATAATACTCCTATAGGAACATATAGAGATCATTAGATATCCCTGTGGGGACGATACGATGACCAGTGAGCTTACTGTGTATTTGTAGTATATTTTTAAACTATTTCTCATGGTGTCCTGGACCCATTGTAGAGCTGCAGTGGATAATCTATTATAGTGATAGAAATAATAATTTGTGGTATTTTTTTAATCTGCTGTGTGTCATTAAATATTCCTGTAGGTAGAGTTTTGCTGTGATATCTGTAAAAAAAACTATATAGGGTTACTATAGGTTCTTTTTCGTCAGGAGGCTGCTGTTACTTCTCTGAAATTCATCAATCGCTGTCTGATTTTTCGTCTTTCGACGTGACGGTGGCGTGATTGTAAAGTCCCTGTGCCATCAGGTGCAAGGCCAGGCCGTTCTTCGGGCCGGTGGCCTTCTTGATTTTGGCCCTCTTGTTCTGAAACCAGATCTTGATCTGGGACTCGTTCAGGCCCAGTTCCTGCGCCAGGTTCTGCCGCCTCTGCTCGGTCAGATACCGGTTTGTCTGGAACTCCGATTTTAGTCTTTGCAGCTGCTCTGCGGTGAAGGCCGTCCGTGGTCGCTTGTCCTCTTTGCTGGTCGATTTCTGCTTTGGTTTGCGGGATCTGGGCCCTGTAGTGGAGAGGGATTTGGGGACGAGGGGGGGGCAACACAGACACAAACATAGGGTTTGTTAGTATCCAAACATGCTCGTTATTATGCGTAAAATACAAGATAAAGCGATGGGTAAACTTCTCCATGGGCCATATCCAAGGAAACTCCTCGATAATAACTTTATTGTTATTATTAATAGTATTCCATTTACAATACTTACATGTTGTACTACTTTGCATTTAAAATAGTGCCTCCAAATGGAAGTAAAACACGTGCGTAAAGTGTATTTTATAAGGAAATGTCCATATTAAAACTTATTCCAATCTCAAAAATTGAGAAGTTAGTAAACAAATGGTTATTCAGGCACCTATGGTCATTAGATTATTGTCTTAAAAAGCTTTTACTTTGGGGGAAAAAAATCACACGTGTAAATATTTATGATGCCCTCAAACAATTTGGATAAACCAGTTAAAAAATAAGGCAAAAAACGAGGAGCTGGTTGTAAAAAATGTTGACACGTCCACTGGAGAAAACATCCAAGAGGTAAAACCTCCCCTCCCTCCCTGTTTCTATCCCCCTTCTCCACTAGCACACACATATGTACACACACGTACACACACACACATACACACACACACACACACACACACACACCACCACCTCTAGTAAAAAGGAAATTATTAGCCAATAGGGCAACACTGGAAAAACACCAGCAGCACATCTCAGCCAGGAGGCCAAGTTGGATAAATGTCAGTGCAGCTACTTTACATATTTTATTATTGTGCTAAAAGCTCATCGGTGGTGAAACGTAAATAGAATTTGAGCAGCTCACATCAGAAACATTTTACTTTTCTATCTGCATGTGGAGGCCTGTGTGGCTGAGTTTGGTTTCCTCCTCCAAAAACAGGAGAAAAAACAACGACATAATTCAGGACGAGCCCTTTTTGTCATGAACCAGCCTCTGTAAGCAGCCTATATAAAAACTGTGCAGCTCTACAACTCGTAGTAGTCGCCTACGCCACTCTATACAGCATTACATAATGCATGAGAACAAATTGTACTCCACTTTGATGGACACTACAAGATACACTAGATATTAAATCCGCTGCGAGTTCCAGTCAGTGTTTTCTTAAGGACAGCGATTAGAAATGATAGTAAAAAAGCGCACTGAGCAGTTGATCCATGCGCTAACGGGAGCGTCCATTGTGAAAACATGCATTTTTAATTCATCCCAAACACAACTCCAGCGCTACGAAGCGCAGCAAAACAGCTCTGCCAAGCGCACCATGTAATATTTTGCAGATCTGCAGATTCTCAGCCTGTCAGCGCGCATATGTTTACTACATGTAGTACTCCACTATCATCATATTCACAGCCAAGCGAAATCTGTTTGAATTCTGCCTGAATTGGAGCATTTTGGTGGAGAGAACCTCGTGCGTTTTGGTTTATTTTCGTGCGTAATTATTATATACAGATTTGTGTTTCTGTTGAAAATAATTATTTATTTTCATTCTAGTTTGCATTTAAAATTTGGCCTATACTCTCACCGATTTTTTCTGCTTTGCACCGGGACGTGTTTGTCATAACAGGATTACAGTTTTACGTACAATATTTATTTTAAAAAACATGGATGTATATTTGGTTAATTCTCAGTTTGCGGTGCTCTGTAAACGGCTCGCTCCACTCTACTCGGCAGAAGTCGGTCACGGCATTCGGGGTCAGTGTTACGGGGTATTTCAGGTTACCGAGAACACGGTGGGCCTGTAGTAAAAACGCATGCACGGTGCCACCAACCTGAAGAAGGCCTGTCCGAGTATCGGGTGCAGTAGACCCAGGCTGGCCACAGCATGGGCTGGGACTTGCTGGCTGGGTTTGAGCTGGCTTGGGAACTGTCTGAGTCTGAGCTTAGGCACTGGTCTCCGTTCTCCCCGCGGGGTTTCAGGGGCTCGTCGGCGGCTATAGCAGGCTTCTTGGCGGCGGTAACTGTATGCGGAGTGGAGGTCCCCTCCGCCGGCACCGTGCTCCCAACAGGCTCGGTCTGGGGCGCGGCGGGGCTGTTGTGGCTCTCCCGCGACGCGAGGCTGCCTTCTTCGCGGTTTGCGCCCCCGTCCTTTCTTTTGCCGAAATCCGGCCGCAAGATGTTGTCGATGAAGAAATTGGTGACCCGATGAGGGATCTGCAGGTTCCCCGGCGCCTGCAACAGGGGAAGGATGGCTCTGTTTGATTCATCCGCCGACTCCTGCCGCTCCACCACGTCTCTGTTGCCGTGATCATTTTCTTCCATACTGATTCACTTTCCCCGCTTTACTCTCTTTAACCCCTTTATCGCTCTCTCCGCTGCAATACAATTTGCGAACTTCAGGAAAATTAAATTGCAAAAAAAAGAAAAGAAAAAAAGCGCACGCGTAAAATAAATAAAAAAATCAAACTCAAACAGTAGTGAGTGCCTTGGACACCACGCACAGCCTTGCGGTAGTGTCCTCTCTGAAAAGCATACTTTTTGACATATATTCCCTCAATCTCGGGTTACAACTGACACCGCATGAGCTAAAACATGTGCCATTTGCGCACCATCCAATTTGGCGTTATCCGATTTCAGAGTGCTCGCTGATGCCTACACCTAAACTAAACTAAGGGTAAATAAAGAGGCTCCTAAACTGATGCTCTAATACTCTCACTCTGGAGTTTTGTTCTTATTTTCAATACGAGCCCCCCGAGTGACGTTTTCCCACCGTCCTCCCAGACACGTGCCTTGGACCAATGGCGCGGCAGAAACCGGGCCACGTGACGCAGACTCCGGAGCAGTCCACAAACGCCCATCCTCTCCTCGGTAAAAGGGAAAGAGTCCTGGAGTATAACGAAGAAGAAGCCCTAATTTAAATCCAGTGCATGCTCCCAACTCCCAATGATTCATGCGAGTTTAGGAGCAGGCAACTTCATTTACTGGAGTTTTCAGTTTGCGCAGGAAAACACGATGCGTCTCTTTCAAAACAAGAAAAGAAGAAAAAAACAAAACAACAAAGGGAGAGTGAAGCGTTGGTTGTCAAAGTGGGTTGCGGGGACCCCCTGGGTTTCATGTTTGCAGGGCATGGAGGAATTCCCAATAAAATAATACATGTTCATTTTACTTTAACGCACGATAACACACCTTGGATGACAATACGTTTAATTCTCGGTACTTTTAGATGCACGTTGTTAACTGCAGCTTCATTATTGATCCAAATCTGCTTTTCTGAAGCCAGTTGAAGCCCAATCCTGTCAAAAAAATGGCCTCATGTGGATGTGTATCTGTGGATCCATGACGTGAAAGCCTTTGAGGAAACATTTGTTTAAATCTCGTGTGAAAATGCACAGTGAAAACACCAGTATCTGTTATTTATCTGGGCATAAAAAGGCATTAAAGGTCACTATAACACCTGTAAGGTCAAATGGACTCTGATCGTGTCCTGCCAAGGTTACATGAGCTCAGAAACGCTGCAGGTCTCCGCGCGCTTTAGACTGAAGGTGCACCAACTGTATTTTCATAAAATTGAATTAAACCATAAAAACACTTTTGATGTTTGCAGCAACACTTTCTTTATTTTACTGTATCATGAAATGTGACTAATCTGACCTGCAGGATGAGGCACGTTGCCTTCAGTTGACTCATAATTGGCAACAAAATGCATCCAAAGTGGAACGTGGCAGCCAACGAGTCCGAGTTCAAACGCTCAGGGGAGGCGTGTTAAATATTTTTATTCATTTATTTATTTGACGTGCTCCTGTTCCGTCTGTCGCGACCCATGCGCTCGACCGAGAACTGGGTCCGTATCCCTTCAAAGGAAAATCAGTGATGCAAACAAACTGTTTTGTTCGCGGTGCTCGGGATTCCGAGTCGCGCCAAAGACAAAACTTTGAGTAACTTTGCTGACCAGCGACTTAAGTTTGTGTGTCTCCTCCCAGGACGGCAGCGGGCAGCGGGGGTGGACGAGCTCAGTTCTCCGCTGGCGTTGGAACCGCGGGGCTGTGCGTAAAAAGGGAGGAAGAAAAGAAACCATGGGGCATCGAGGAGGACCAGAGGAGCAGCGAGACATGAGTGAGGAGCATTCGAACAATTCATTCAGTCAGCTGCTTTTTTTTATTATTACAAGCATGCATTGTCCCTTTCTTTAGGTTTCTGTGAACTTTGATCCAAATTTAGTAAATATTTAATATAATGTGTTGTGCCATGTGATTAATCGTGCATCTCTGTCCAATCAGCCGTTATGACAATGGATATGTTGATGGTTTCTGCTGTGCACCACTGAAATAAAAAAAGAGGCTTTTGGATAATGTGGAGGTTGCACAACTGTTGTTTGATTTTTGCATTTGTGGCACAGCAAGCCCTGTAATTTAAGCTGGAAACTAAGCCCTGTTTTGTCCTGCGGGGGAACAACCATGTCCATGACTTTTCACCTGTGAAATACAGGCTTTGTGCAAACTGCAAAGCAATTATTGTTAAGTATTTTTAACTAAAAATATTTGTTTGCAGTTAATCTGGATTTGTGTCTGGAAAGCCCCCACATTCATAAAGTGCAACATCACATGCTCATGTGGTTCCTTTTTCATATTATTCTTCAATATTCAAAAGTGAATTCTTGTTGTATTTAATGCTGCTTTGTAAAGCAGGAAAAAAAAAAATCTCAGCTCAAATCTACCTGAACGTCTCCCCCCTGGTCCTATCTCACATGTCCCCCCATCACAAAGGGCCCATCCAGGCGCTCCCGTCGGCTGCTGCAGTGAAAGTTGGGAGTGAAATATGTAATTAGACAGGCCACTCTCATGCTGCGATTGTTTCTCACTTGTGAGGGGAAGCGCAGATTAAACGTTGAGCGCTAAATAAGCAGCAGACAATGGAGGCACAGACAGGCCGCTGCCGCCTGGGCTTGGCCTCTAACCTCGCAGCAAAACAGGGATGTCTGGAGGAAATGACACCATTTCAGTTTCTGAATTATAATAAGAGCTGGTGCGCACTGCAAAAAGTGCAGACTGTGAAGCGCCAGTCAGTGCTTTAGAGCCCCCAAACTCTTATTTTTCTTTAAAAAACTAACACACTTGTCTCTTTCCTGCGTAGTTTCCATTGTAAAGTGGTGTTTTAAACAAAAAAGAATTTTAAAAAATAGATGTTAATGGCAACAGATTGACAGTAACGTTGCTTTTACGCACAGCAACCACCCTGTTTAAGGAAATTCTCCAAATGGAAACAGCAAGTCATCTCCCTCTGCTACAGAAAACACGATTTAAACTTGAAAACTGTGTGTTTTTTGCAGTGTAAACTTTACAGGCACTTTTCCTGAAAATACAAACCAAAAAAAACAAGCAGCGTGTCTTGTTTTGACGGGAAAACTCATTTAATTCTCCACTATCGCTGGGTTTTCTGTGGTTTGACACATGAGCGAGATTTTGTGCTTCACTTTCCTGCTTGTAAAATTAGAAAAATATCTTCTAGAGTTTGTGCAGGTTGATTAAGGGTTAAATTATTCCCGTAGCATTCAGTGGATTTGCATATCACGGTATTGTAGTTTTTAATTTCCCCCCCAAATAAAATCAGGCATAATAGAGTCATAAAGCCATCAGTGTATTTTATAAACCTGCCTTCGTGTTTTTTTGTGGCTGCACAGAGTTTGCTGGTGTATTATTTTGCTCTGTATTGACTATTAGGTGCTTAAGACAATGAAACACTTTCATTTTCAGTCTTTAGGTTGTCAACTATTTGGTTTATTATTTTTTATCCATGTGGAATTATTGCAATTACAAAATAAAGCCCTTATAATGGCAGGATTTTAAAATCTGGCACTGTCCAGACGCAGGGTGATTCGCATATAAATAAAAAAG